TAAAGAAAAGATATCACCGGCGTAAAATCAAAAGACGTTTCGCAACGACTCGTTAACGTTGAAACTCTGTCACCACTCTTCATACGCGTATATTTTACCGACACACGCTTGCACGATTTTGCTAAAACAATCGCCACTCGCAAGGGGAGTTCGACAACTCCAAAAATTCCAGAAAAATTTAAAACTTCGCTAGACATTCGTAGAGATGAGAGTTCTCCAAAGCACCCGTTATCGTGAATATTCGCGAAATTCTAGACGTATAACATATACAGGGGAAAAATTGCATTGCTTTCATAGAGTGTATAGATGTATCGGGGCGACGAAAAAATTTTCGAAAATTAAAACTAGCATCACATCGTAAAACGTTGACTACTTTTGATCAATCATACGTTTATTGGAAATATATCTATACGTGCTGTACGCGAGGATACGTTCGTACCAAGTTGTAGTTGCGTAATATTACAACACTTACGTATGCGACGCAATCTTCGAAAAATTTTACAGAGAGACCGCGACGACTCGTTTCCAGCGAAAGAACGACGAGACACGAGGACAATCCTCGAACGTGGTTGACACAGGGAAATTCAAACGACACAACCTATAAACGCGCGCCGGTAGTTTTATTTGACGATCGATACCCGATAGCGAGCTCGTCTATCGCGATACGATCCGATCTCGAGAACGGAGCTCGACGCCCTTCCGGATTTGAGAAAGAGATCTATAGACTGGATAAGAATACCGGCCCGCGAGATCCAGCGGGTTATTTCACGAGAAAATTCGACTCGAAACGTTCAATCGACTCGGTGAACACCGACGAACGCTCTCTCGTCATTTTCGACGATAGCATTTCCCGGTCGAAAAGGACCGGCACAAAGGAACCGGATCGTTGCGATTTTATCTTCGCGAAACTATCGAGCCGTGAGTCGCTGCCCTCGCGCGACAATGGCGCCCGCAGCCGTGGTTACTCGCACGCGACCCAACCGAGCCCCGGCTAACAACCAGCCTCGAACCCGAACCGCACAGCGGGGTGCTTTTGTTTAACCGAGGCGTTTATTAATCAATTGCATACCCTTCTTGCGGGTCGAAAGCGCTGCGCATTTGACGGTCAAACGCTTTTTTTCTGCCTCTCAATGGGAGAGCCCACTCTCGGGACGCATCCTTTGATCTGTTCGGGAAAGGGGGAGGATGTGGGGGTAGGGGGCACATCTTGTAACGAGCTGCCTGACAAATTCGAAGAGACGGAATATCTACGTACAATGTAATTTGTTGTGCGCGGGCAACGAAACGAGACACGGCACTCCAGAGCGTCGTGCTTCCAATTACACCGAGCCCGGCGATATTACTCACTGCAGTGTAGTGCTTGACGAATCGAACGAGCTTCTAACGCGATGTTGGATATTCTCCGGTTACCCGGACAGCTATCTCTGCCATCACCTGCCAAATCCCGTTATCAAGTGCCTCCGCGCAAAACAGTGAAACGTTGCTTTTTCTATAATGTCACGTGGCGAAAAATGTTTTCTGAATTTTGAAGTATATATATATATATGTATAATATATCGCCGGTTTTCGGTAGGTTTCGCGCAAATTCGTTTGATTTTATAATTTTTCGTACTGTTCTCTGGACGTTTTTATCGAACATCGAGTATTGCGGATTGAAAACAATAGTGGCTCGAGATTTTAGAAATTTGGATTTGTTGTTACTTCGATCCTTAAAAGTATCGTCTTACCCCTTGGTTTTATAATTAATTAGGCCATAACTAGAGAAAAGAGAATGCACGGAATACCCAAAGTATATATAAAATATCGAAAGTCGAATATTTAGGCGATCGGTAGCAGAAACAAATTTCTACTCAGGCTCCGAAATACGAGATTGTACAAAAATCTGTAGTGTGATCGTAACTTTGTTCTCCACCGTGGTATAATTTTAAAAAGTACAGCGAACTCTTGATAACAATAAAAAATAGACATTATCTGACTGACTTTACACCACTTCGCGCAATCATCCTGTAGCATTTTATCACTTTCCAAGATGTAGGTATTTAAAATGAAAATCCACCGTCTAATAATAACCACGAGCGATTAAGATATTCCGGAATATTTAAAATGAAAATCCACCGTCTAATAATAACCACGAGCGATTAAGATATTCCGAGATATTACAACGCCCCGATTCATGTTAAATGGAATCGTCGCATCGTTAGATCGATTCGTTTCGAAGAACTTCCATCATACTTGACCATAGATACGTGTACCCGCCCAATTTGCGGCTTTGAGCCGTACAAATTAATGCATAAACGTTAATAAACGCAGAGATCACGTAAACGAAACTAACACGTCAATTACGAATGCGGTCGCGATGTCAAAGGAAAGTTGGAAAGTAAATTACTCCGTACGATATCGTATGGCGATGCGGATGCGAATGTACACGCGATATTACGCTAAACTGAAATAACTGTACGCACGCAGAATATTATTATTGAAACATAAAAGTTAACGATGCTCGGTCGGCGGAGTGCACGGCGCAATCGGAGATAATTAAAGCGAGCCAACGGTGGTGAGTATTTTTGAAAGCGTTTAATAGAAGAGGGCGACGTCGTCCTCGACCGGATCTTCGCTTTACTATCAAGCGGGGGACAATTCGGGGCGTTAGTTCCCCCTTAAATCGTAGAGAACGGCGTGAGTTTTAAGACAATTCCGAGCAAGGACCAATTTCTACCGGAAAATCGTCGCGTCTGTCCGCGTAATTAAACTTTTGCGCCTTTCAACGCCCGACTACTTTAACAGTAAACGAATCGTCCCTCGGTTTATTCCGATCTTGAACGATCGTTGATTTCGCTCCGTTTGATTTCAGGTCAATAGAATTGATAGGCCAGACGATTCTTTCTTTTTATTGATCTCTTTTTTTTTTCCTCTTTTCTTTTTTCTGTAAACATGTGTCCACAATTTATTATCAATTGTGTACTCCACATACAACGACCTGCACACATAGTGACGCACGTTTTATACACACGTACATCGCACGCATACGTCCAACGAAAAAAATACGTTCCACATCCCATGCACGTATACGCACACAGAGAAACAAATTATCCTCGTACACGTATATCACATGCACACGTATGTAGCACACGTACTTGTTCTTTTTTTTTTTCTTTTTTATACTTATAATAACGTAATTATGTTCAGCATCGTATGGGAGAAATTTACCTTCTTCATTTCTTTTTTTTTTTTTTTTTTTTTTTTTTTTCAAAATATATATATATTTTTTTCTTCGTCGCTATCTATAGGACAAGAACAGTGGAAACGATCGTACTCCATGCTTAAACTTATTACTCTCTTATTATGCGTAGTTTATTGTTTCCTGTGTGTCATTATATGATCTTCCCGTTTCTCTTTCTCTTTTATTCGTTCTGTTAAAAAAATTAACGTACAATAGCTATACTCGTCGTGCGTTTATTTAAAAGTAGTAGCTAGCAAATACTGGGGAGGAAACGAGGACGAAGTTAGGATTTATCTCCAAATTTTCCATTCCCTTCCGTTTGCTTATATAACGATAATTAAATTTAACGATTTAATCGTTGGTCGTTTCACTGTCAGAATGAACTTTCGTTTGTATGTGTGTGTCCCGTTTCCGACCTCCCGATTTTCTGTCGATTGATACAAAATTCTTCTCGATTGGCAGGTGAACGAAAGACGTCATTCCGACTGACTTCGACTGGCTCGCACAACCACAGCATTCACTACCCTCTCGCGTCTTCTCCACCTCGGTATATCACAATGATTCAACGTATTGACTACTTCATAAATAATCCTCTTGTCTTCTCTTTCTTTCGAACGTTCTTCAAGTCTGCACGTGCTGGCAAATCACGAGCATTCCACGTTACAGGTTTTCCTTTCTTCAACGTCGACACGAATGTGCACGTTCGTCTGCACCCGTTCTACGTTGAAGTTCAATTTAATATATCGGTGTCTAAAATTGTCGTACACGTTGCGTACGTAACCATAGATGAGCTTCTATTTTCCCTTTGCCTTTCACACAATCCTCTTTCATGGACGGCGATAAAAAACGTAGCGCTAGAGATTATTACAACATGCGAGGAACGCTAAATCCTGAGTGTCTAAAAATTTCTCGTAATATACACGTATTTATACAGTTCTTTCGTTTCTTCCTCTTCTTCATCTTCTTTTTTTTCTTTTTTTTTTTTTACTATTATTACCTCCAACATGATAGCAATGTGATCACTGCCTGAATCCTTTCAATCTAGAGTCTAATCCTTAAAAATCCTTAGTTTTATTCGTAGAAACAACGTTCGCGAAACGAAATGATGATTTTTAGATTCGCTGAGGCCAGCTGGGTCCGGTTAATTCGAACTGGGTCTACGCGAAGTTCTTTCGCAGTGTCGACGTTATTATGACGTAGAAACTCCCAATCGATCGGCTGAAATGGATGGTCCACGTTTATTCGCGATGTAACATCTACCATCGAATGAACGGGCTTTTAAACGAAAGCAGCGATTTGTTTCCACCTTGCGATAGAAATGTACGTATGACCCGTATTATATCATACGAACAATACGTCCACGTGATACAGAAATCAATTCGGTTGGCCACGCGTTTCGCTGAATTCCGCGGACGCATAATAATGACGTACGATCGCGATACAATTTGCAAATTTTATGCAGAACGATACGATAATGTATATCTCGCTGGTATGTTTCGTACTGAGACTGTAACGGAATCGGAAGTTTCACAGTATGTATGTATTACGTATATAAACGTTTTCGGTAAAATTTGTACGATCGTGTTTACTCGTGCGGTGCGAATTTTTAAACTACGCGTTGAGCTTTCTCCGAATCTATAAGAGAATAGATTAGCTAAAATAACACTCTTAATTTACGAACCCTTTCATCGGCGAACGAAAGTATATCGATATACAGCAAAATACATACGTTGTTTCTCAGTTCTTTGCTTTTCTCTCTCTTTCTCTCTCTCTCTCTCTCTCTCTCTCTCTCTCTCTCTCTCTCTTTTTCTAAATGTGTTTAGTACTTCGTTGCACTTCGAAAAATGACGTCTATGTAAATTTCATTCTTTCATTAACGAAGAATACTATCGAACCTACTTAATCTGTCCGACATTCGACTGGTCGTAAAATACAGTAACCACCTTTCTCTTATCTCTTCTTCTTTCTTTTTTTTTCTTTTTCTTATCTTTTTTAATCGTTAAAGAATGTCGAAGTGGATTTTCTACGATACGGCAACTACCCAGATTCCTTCGTTAACCTTCGTCGTTTGTAATACAAATTATTTTTATCTCAAGGCAAATATGTTTCACTGTTAGAATAAATCGGTGGCGCCAAGACATTTGTGCACATCTTACGCGTACGTACCATAATATGTGTATATAACTGCACAGTTTCACACCGTTCCTACGTATAGGAGAAGCAGCACTTTGTGTTTATACTAAAAATATGTAACTACGATCGAATTTCAACAACTAAAGCCAAGTATTGAACCTCCAGAGATCGCGTTGCAATCGTGGGGAAAAAAAAGGGAAAATCGAAACACAGTTCTTCGCTAAAGATTCTCAAAGAACAGTCCAGAGCAAATTGATAAACTGCCTTTTCGTTTCGTATTTCCACAACGCCATATACACTACAAACAACGCGTACTTATCATTAACATATAGTGAAGAATTCAATATTCATTGTGCTACACGTTGCAAATACATTTTGCGCGTGAATTTTGCGAGCTACGAGCTAATCCCCTTTAGAAAGAAATATTAAAATTGCAAACGAATGCTCACCGTGATCGCACATCAACGAAAGACAATCGAACGAGAAAATTTCATTCGTGTCGTAACCTCCTCATTGATAATCTTATGATTTACGTATTTCATACGTATCGAGTACGTGGAAGATGTAAGACGAATATATTATGCAACGTTCGATATATTCTGTATAAGCACGAAAAATAATCCGCTGTTTGGTATTTAGCATTCACATGTAACATTAAATTTCACTTACACACGCAGTTAGAGCGCCTCTTAAATATACGTATTTCCTTTTTACGTTTTAAATAGTAAGATAGGCCATGGCATTATTTCCTTAATGTACGTAAGAAGATCTGGCATAACGAAAATATCCGCGCAGATTGCACTAGATACAGTACAACGTCGTGAATGTAAAATAATCGATAAAAACGAAAAAAAATTATCACGGCATTTCAAGCAAATTTTTCACTTGCATCGCGAAAGCAATGTATTGCTCATTGCACATCTTTCTTTTTTTCTTTTTTTTTTCTTTTTTTTTTTTTTTTTAACAATGGACTATATCTGTCGACTTCCATTGGCTAAACATAACACCTGACGTTATATTTCCTGGAATACTCGAACACGACAAATTTTTTTTTTTATCCTTTATAAATATCAAAGCCAATAATCTAATAGCCAAAGGCAATACTGCCTTACGTTAAATATTTCATTCTTGATTCAGAATATTTATTATTCATTAGGCTTCAAATACCTAATGCGTATTTACTAACGAAAGAGAAACTCGTTGTTAAATAATTGAGAAAAGATCAAACGTTATTTACATCGCTACGAAGAGACGATGACAGAAAATCTACTCAAAATTTGTAGTAATTTGGATTTAAAAAATGCAATAGAAAAGATTCGAGGAAATAACAAATTGTTAAAAAGATACGTATAACTATTACGTACACATGAAAAAAAAAACAGGGTAAAAAAAATCATCTTACTTAAATAAAATAAATAGAGACGCTTGAAGCTATAACTTTTTTTTTTTACCGCTGTTTAAAAAAGGAGCTGAGTCAATATATGAAACTATTATAGTCATTTCATGACAAGATCTTATTATGTGAAGAAGTAAAAAGATTTTCTATAGAACTATGCATTGTGCAATAAAAAACGCTCAATTCCATAGTTTTGTCAATGGTAAAAAATTCATGTATACACGTGTTACTGAGACGTGGTCTCATTATCGTGATGATGAACAGTCGATATCTGTGACTAATTTTTTTCCCCAATTTTTCAAGTCTTAAATTGCTGAATTAATTTTTTAAAAAATCTAGTTGCGTCTTGGGTATATATATAGTAATGGTTTTTTTCTTTTTTCTTTCGATTGATGCAATTCTTATCGTTACTATTTTGTACACTTACGTTACAAGAGTGGGATCGATCGATGCTTATTACTACTAATGAACTCATACGTGAATCGACGAAAAAAAAAAGAAAAGAAAAACGTACGAATCATATGTACCTATATACGATGGAGGAGAGAAGACCCATTTTTCATTCTTTCTTTTTCTTTGTTTCTTGGCAGATGGCGTCTCGCTTTTTCTGAGAAAAGGCGATCGTTTAAAAGGGTATACTGCGTAATCCCAATTACGCAACTCCAGTGTACTCGCTCCATATTTTCGAGCTTTATAAAAGATTACACTTCCCCGAGCGTCTTCGTTTCCTCCGATTTTTTTCCAACTTGACTGGAGGTTGATTTCTGATAATACGAACGACCTAGAGCAAAATTATTCATGTTCCTTTCCATCACATGCAACTATGCACTTATATAATAATCATGTTTCTTTTCTATCTATTTTGTTTCCCCTACCTCGTGGAATGCTGCGTCTACATTTAATGGCGGGTCTTTGGCAGAAGTTTCAATATAAGGTATACCCAACTGATGAGCCAACTCCCTTCCCTGTTCCTCTGTAACCTTTCTCAAATGCACTAGATCAACTTTATTGGCTACCAGAAGCATGGGACATGCGTCTTTGTCCTTTACCCTGAGTATTTGGGTGTAAAAGAACATGACATTCTCGTAAGATTGTTTGTCTGTCACAGAGTATACTAATAGAAACCCATCACCCTTGCGCATGTATTGTTCACGCATGGCACTGAACTCTTCTTGACCAGCTGTATCTAACACTGTTTGGTACAAATAAATCCTTGTATAGAATAAATCCAGAATGCATTGTAAACCTAATATGATGGTGTTAAGCATAGTCCAAAGTAGCGGATTGCAAAGTTAAACGCAACAAAGCAATGAAACTCACCATCTAGGATACACCATTGTTTGTCTATCTCTGTATGTTGAATGTAACTGTCCTCAATGGTAGGATCATAGTCAGTGACAAATAATCTTTGAAAGAACTGTATGGTGATTGCGCTCTTTCCAACACCTCCATCTCCAACCACGACCAATTTGAAGGTCACAAGGTTGTCATTATTAGGGGGTCGTGTCATACCGCCTCTTGTTCTCCCACCCCCTCCCCCGCTGCTCTGTCTTCTGCCTATCCTGTCAACTCTTCTAATGTATTCTTAACAGCGCCTCTGCTCGTGAATTGTCAAATCTCACTCTATGACTAAAGCGCCCTGGAAGGGTTAACTCACAATTAGATGGACGATATTAACAACGTATTACTTCTTAATACTTAACATTTCTATTGCAACAGTTTTGTTTACATGAACACAAGAATTAAAAAACTACTGCTGGAGCATCGATGTAACGGGTGTGTCAATTACAGTTAATAGGACAAAATTAGACGAAGAGTTGCTAACGTTTAATTAGGAGTTGGCAGACTGTACAACAGTAGTCGAACCGTCCTGATGCGGTCTATTTTCGAATGAAATACGACACTCACCTTACATGATCTGCCACTCCTGTTTCACGTTCTTCCAGCTGTCAGTCCAAGCCACTGTGCGCAACATTCGTATCTATGTGAAAAGTATGTTTGTGTTAGCTTTTAACGTAGTAGCATATACAATAGGTCTTGTATATTTTTATCACCATGCGCGCAAACATAACTATCCTAGCGGTATATTTTGTAATTATCGCACTGTTCAACAGTGATGCCAACCATTTTTAATCCGACATAACGCAGAAATAAAAATGTAACTTTCGATTAAAAGTTACATTTATTTGTACACATGAATCTTGAGAATTCAAAGATACCCTATCAATAATTTGTTAAATATAAAGTATAGTTTACAAAAATGATTTTGTTATATTGGCAAGCCATCTCACAATCTCTTGCGCTTTCCTTCATTTCGTAGAGATTTATATGAATATATTTATACGTATAAAACACGAATGGTACATATGTAATTTATATAAAATAGTTAGCAAACTTTTGCATTTTTACCATTAATCTAACAATTAAAGATTTTTGAAAAACTCACATTCACTTTATTTCATAACGTTATGTACATGACAGGGGGTTATCTAGTATAACTAGTATAACTAGTTATAACGTTAAGCATTTTCGCACTCCTAGTCAGATAATATTAATTTTGGTAAGTACGTAGTGCTGGTATTTGTTGTTTATAAGTATTAAATCAAATTTAACAAAATTTTTTAATGTATTATAATATACTATAAGATATTGCATGTAACCTATCGTTTATTGGTTTTGAGGTTATGTTCGAACTGTTTGTAAACAATCACAATTAATGAGAAAAAAATAAATCGTATCTTGTATGAAAATGATTAATGATGTCTAAAATGTATAATTTTCATATTTACAGTTATTTAAGTTAAGAAAAAATTACTATGGACGCAGATCTGTACGATGAATTTGGCAATTATATTGGCCCTGATTTGGCTTCTGATAGTGAGGATGAAAATGAATATGGTAATGCTGGAGATGATGCAGAAGACAGAGAACGCTCTGATGAAGAAATGGAAGAAGATAAGGATGAAGTTAGGGAACAATCAGAGCAGGGAAATTCTATGGCAGTTGTATTGCACGAAGACAAAAGATACTATCCAAGCGCTTTAGAAGTTTATGGACCAGAGGTAAATATGGACAACTGCATATACTTTCAATTATTAGTGTCAACATTAATACATAGCTATTTGAAATATGTTACAGGTGGAGACATTAGTGCAGGAAGAAGATGCACAGCCGTTAGATAAACCATTGATAGCACCAACCAGAAAACCAAAGTTTCAAATAAAACAACAGCAACTACCGGAAACAACGTATAGCATAGAATTTTTAGCGGACATGATGGATGCACCTCATCTAATACGCAACGTTGTTCTACTTGGTCATCTACATCATGGCAAAACTACTTTAGTCGACTGTTTAGTGAGACAAACCCATCCTTACTTACACAGCGTGACAGACGAAAAACCTTTAAGGTACAATATCTACTCATAAATACTCTCGACAAGCACTGTTGAATTAAATAAAAGAAATATATTTATGTTCCTAGGTATACTGATACATTATTCACGGAACAACAGCGAGGAGTATCGACAAAAGCGACACCGGTGACTTTGTTGCTACAAGACGTGAAATCAAAATCCTATCTTTTAAATATATTTGACACTCCCGGTCATGTAAATTTTTCTGACGAGGCGACAGCAGCGATACGTTTGTCCGATGGAGCAATACTGATCGTCGACGCCGCTGAAGGCGTTATGTTGAATACAGAGCGTTTATTGAAACACGCGCTTCAAGAAAAACTCGCGTTAACAGTTTGTATAAATAAGATAGACCGACTGATCTTAGAATTAAAATTGCCCCCTTTGGACGCGTACTATAAATTAAGACACATCATCGAAGAAATTAACGGGCTGATAGCGTTATATTCAGACTCGGAAAATCCATCATTCGTGTCACCCGCGATCGGAAACGTGTGCTTCGCAAGCTCGGAGTACAACGTTTGTTTTACCCTGAAATCCTTCGCGGCACTCTACGCCAAGACCCATCTCTCCCTGAACGCCAATGAATTCGCGAAACGACTATGGGGAGACATATACTTTAACTCGAAAACGCGGAAATTCACGAAAAAACCACCGCACAATACCGCACAGCGCAGCTTCATCGAGTTCATTCTCGAACCGTTGTACAAGATTTTCGCGCAGGTCGTCGGCGATGTCGACACAACTTTGCCCGACGGTTAGTGATTCTTTCTAAGTCAGATTAGTAGATTAATATCGTGAAATAACATTGCAACTTGTACGATTCCACAGTGTTGGACGAATTGGGCATAAGACTGACATCAGAGGAAATGAAAATGAACATTAGACCTCTGTTGAGGTTGGTATGCACGCGTTTCTTGGGTGATATGTGCGGATTAGTCGACATGTGCGTAGCCCACGTTCCCAGTCCTCAATCTCACGCACCGGTCAAGGTCCAGCACGTGTACACAGGCTCTATGGATTCGTCTCTCGCGCAGGATATGATCAATTGCGATCCTGACGTTAGTACTTGCTAAGAGATATTTACACTGCAAAACGTATCTCTTTCGTATCTCTCCAAATGGAATTTAACACGGAAACGATATTTACAGGGCAGGCTAATGATTCACAGTACAAAAATGTATCCAACTGAGGACTGTACGTTGTTCGTGGTCCTCGGGAGGGTAATGTCGGGTACACTCGAGGCAGGACAACGCGTCCGCGTATTAGGCGAAGCATACTCGCGTACCGACGAAGAAGATTCTCGTGTCTTAACCGTGGGAAGACTGTGGATTAGCGAGGCACGCTACTCGATCGAGCTGAATAGAGTTCCCGCCGGCAACTGGGTTCTTATCGAGGGTATCGACAGACCGATCGTGAAAACGAGCACGATCACCGATCTCAATAACTCGGATGACCTACACATCTTTCGGCCGTTGAAGTTCAATACGCAGAGCGTGATCAAAATCGCGGTCGAACCTGTCAATCCGTCGGAATTGCCAAAAATGTTGGACGGTTTGAGAAAAGTGAATAAGAGCTATCCGTTGCTGGGCACCAGAGTCGAAGAAAGTGGCGAACACGTGGTCTTAGGGACCGGCGAATTGTATTTGGACTGTGCGATGCACGACCTGCGCCGTATGTACTCGGAGATCGATATAAAAGTGGCAGACCCGGTCGTTGCATTCGCGGAGACGGTGGTAGAAACGAGTTCTCTCAAGTGTTTCGCCGAGACGCCGAATAAACGAAACAAGTTGACGATGATCGCCGAGCCACTTGAAAGAGGCCTCGCAGAGGACATCGAGGCTGAACACGTCAAGATCACGTGGAACAAGTGAGTAATGAAATTTTCATAATTTGTTAGTACATCTCGAAGTTTCACGCGTTTATAGAAAATAAGGAATTGCGAGAATATACAGAATACATACGTAGTGTGTAAAAGTGTATAAAGAAAAGGAAAACAAAATTGAGTACTTGTAATATTTTTTAGTAGACATGCATGTTCCGTTTGTAAAAGTGCGGATTTGCATAAATGTCCGCAGTCATTAATGTTGTAAAATAGAATGCGCGTCATGAAGACTTCCGACTGCATATCGTGTCCTTGATAAAAAAAAAAAAAAAAACACGCAGCTTCATCAAACGCACTAATACTGAATATTGAATATCATGTGTTATATGCATTGGAATATATATTATTACGTTATATACGTTATATAAGTCTTGATTATGAAAATTCTGCGATATCGGGCGACGAAAGCCCCAATGTGAAAATTGCGTTTATGTTCGCAGAAAACGATTAGGCGAATTCTTTCAAACGAAATACGACTGGGACTTACTGGCAGCGCGAAGCATTTGGGCATTTGGCCCAGACGCTACGGGCCCTAATATTCTAGTCGACGATACTTTACCGTCGGAAGTGGACAAAACGCTATTGAACAGCGCCCGTGACGCCATTATTCAAGGTTTTCAATGGGGTACGCGAGAAGGTCCTCTCTGCGAAGAACCAATTCGCAACGTTAAGTTCAAAATTCTGGATGCCGTAATTGCTCAAGAACCTCTTCATCGAGGAGGTATGTACTTGCTGATTGTTGCTCAGAAAATAAACAATTGAGACGATACATATATATCGTTCGCTTCTCATTACGTGATAATTTCATTCGAAGAATCGAGAGTCTAGTTTTTTTTTCTCATTCTTCGAGACACGTTGAAATGTTTGAGTAAAATTAGAAAAATAATTCGTTGATCGTACTTCTTAGAAACCAAACTCCACTTTTCGTCAATTTCCTAATTTTATCATACAATAAGCACCTATGCATTTAATATTTAATTCTTTCATAGGCGCGTGCTCATTTTTATAATTAATTTCTTTATAGAACGCTATTAAAAAAATATACCTACTGAAGAAATATCCAAAACTAATTGCGAATAGTTTTTCAAGTAATAATTTCGTCCTACTAAAAGTCTCACATTCTGCCTAATTCAATGCTCAAATAAAATACATTATATATATATTAATAATATATTAATATTATTTAGTATGATTACCTACTTTATTCCTTTTGATAAATTTATACACAAAATATTATAATAATTTCTTTTTTCTAAACGACAAAAATAACTCTTCCGCTGCCTCTTTTTTTATCGTGAACAAGATTAATTCCCTGTTTCACAGGTGGTCAAATAATTCCGACGGCCAGAAGGGTAGCCTACTCGGCCTTCCTTATGGCAACGCCCAGATTGATGGAACCCTACTTGTTCGTCGAAGTTCAAGCGCCTGCGGATTGCGTGTCGGCCGTTTATACCGTGCTGGCGAAAAGAAGGGGCCATGTGACTCAAGACGCTCCCGTTCCCGGAAGTCCCTTATACACCATCAAAGCATTCATTCCAGCAATCGATAGTTTCGGCTTCGAGACTGACTTGCGAACGCACACGCAAGGCCAAGCATTCTGTCTCTCCGTGTTCCATCACTGGCAAATCGTCCCCGGCGATCCATTGGACAAAAGTATCACGATTCGACCTTTGGAACCGCAACCAGCTACGCACTTGGCTAGAGAATTTATGCTGAAGACAAGGAGACGAAAGGGACTTTCTGAAGACGTGTCTATCAACAAGTTCTTCGACGATCCTATGTTGCTCGAATTAGCCAGACAAGATGTTCTACTGAATTATCCATTATAAAACATGTTATAGTCGTAGCAATTTCTCATGTATAATTTTACGAAGATTTATCATTAAAGAACTAATTTTATATGAAACTGCATTTGTTCTTGCCTTGCATTTTATTCCCCGTATCCTGATCTCCTTACAAAAAGAATTCTACATTCTCTGAACTTTGTTATCGATCGAGAACTAGATGTTTCGCGAAAAAAGTTGCCGCGTAAAAGTACGAGACGTTCGCCGAATAAAAGGAGGATCTTACGTCCGATCTTACGGCTATAAATAAGAGCGCCGATAAGGTATGTATATAGAACACATTGCGAAAGGCCGCATTCGAAAGTAGATCGCGACATATGGACAAAAACTCGCCGTCCACGTATGTATACTTTCTTCAAAAATAGACTCGCCGGATATCGACGCAAGCTACTATTCTTTTTAAACAAGATAGTGATGTGAAATAAAACCTGTATCTTCTTATTATTATATAAAACTATCAGTCGTAATATAAACGAATATATTTATAATCAAGTAGATATCTGGTATACTTTCTTGATATGAACATAATAGAATTGATATTATAACAAGGAATCCAATTTTTATTTGAAAAATTTATTATTTATTCTAATTTTGAAAAATTGGAATAATTAGTAAACGTAGAACGAAGATTAATAGAAAATTTGGAGATGAGATTTACTAAAAATAAAAATTTAGTTTTTGGTACAACGAATAACAGAAATTCTCCAACGAGAATTATTGTATTAGCTATCGTAGTTAAGTGATTGGTTAAAAAGAACCCAGTAGAACTTGTGGAATTTTCAGTGTCTCTTTTGTTAAATAATCAGACATTCTGAATTTCAAATTTTTGCATGTATTTGCAGAGAAACTTACAAACAACGAGACTCCTTCTCATTCCTCATATCGTACTCTTCATCGTTTTACATCGTATTTCACGTCGACAAATGTCAAAATTCAATGAATACTCTGCTGATCATCAGAGATTCGTTCTTTGAGCAATAGTGAATCAATACGCATCTGATATCGGCGATCGCCGGAGTCTGACGAGTCCAAAATTACATACTTCAGTCATCGGACCACAAGAGTCAAACGACAGTTGTGGACGCGTATTTTAACGAAAACGAAATGTCTCAAGCACCGTAGCGCGTGTATACTCTGGCAAAAATCTGAACGGAATTTACGTCTGATTACCGAGGCACGGCAAATTTCTAAAAATACCCGTAACGTTAGGTAATCATAACCTTAATCGGAAAGCTGACACAGCCGGCGTATCGTCGGAGATGTCAGCCGGAAACATATAAGCATCGGCCGGGAAGCGCGCGCAGTCGAATGGGTGGCAGGCGGAGCCGTAACTGCGCACAGTCGAATGGGTGGTTGAAGTGGTCGGAGCATGGCGCCATTTTACTAACAACAACCGTGCCCATCGGTCCGCCCATCAGCGTCGATCGACCAGAGAGTCGTGCTGCTTCGATGGACGCAAAACCGGGTTCGCTCGGCTCGACTGTCTCTTTTCAAGGCGATGTCGCTATGAAGCGGTCTACCGCGTCGCCGCCGATCGATCACTCGACTTCACTCTTTCTTTCTCTCTCTCTCTCTCTCTCTCATTCTCTCTCGCTTCCCTCTCCTCCCTCCCCCAACGCCCCGTCGGCTTGGCACTCGCGCTGAAACACAACACGCATAATCGCGCTTCTTTTCGCTCGATTTTCCCGCCGAGATCGAACGTTCGAAAAAAAATGAAAAACTCTCGTCGATCTTGTCGAAGAAGGAAACCCACGGCTCTCGAGCGTCCAACGAGCGTAAACCTTCGACGATTGCGTCACGTCGGAGATTACATCTCTCGAGAGAGGTCGCAGCCGTGGTACCGAAACTAGCGCCGAAGCCTTTTCTTCGACGCTTCGCCAAGAATAAAATTGACCGCTGGTCGTGTGACCGGGCGTCGAGCTTGGAAAGACGCGAGATCTTTCGACCGACGAGATCTTTCGGTTAGATCGGTAAGATGGTAAGAGTCAGAGAAACAGTATGCGAAAAGTATCTGCGCGACGCGTACCAATCAGGATATCAACTTGGTCGGCTACGCTGTGGTCCTATAAATAGCGAGACAATTTAAATTTACAATAGCGTGCGCGATGTTCCGGCGGTCGACATTGCCGGTACGCAAGATACTTCTCGAATACGGTTCGGTGGCTTTCGTGGCGCGTTATCGGTAGACGGTGTGCTTGCATGCGTGGCTGTCGACGTAACTAGAATAACGCCTTTACGATCGCGCAGCTACTTGTTTGTCAACCACGGTTACCTCGTTTCTTTGACACACGGGAAGCGAAGTTACGAAACTAGAGAGGCCTCGATGAATCGTTGATCGAACGCGTTTAATAAGCAGCTTCGTTACCGGTGTCCCATATTTATTAGCACGCAGCATCGCCGTTGTATTATTTAAGTAACTAACTACTAACACGTACGTATGCACGTCGATTCGTCATGCTTGCAGATACACGTTACTTTTACGCGTCTCTCAGGAAACAGACTGCGATTTCCAACTGCTCGGAAACACACATCTCTTCACGATGGACGCGCCCCGATCTCGAAGGCATCTAGTACCTACACGGCATCTAGCAATTAGAGCGACGTGGAAAGGGACCGTACGGTCGAATGGGTTTCTCGCGCTGATTAACCGTACACACGTCAACCGTGCGCTCCTTTTCAATGGGAAAACGCCATGGCTTATGTTTAGTTAAGCATCCTAATCCCTGGCAAGCCAGTTGCCGAGGGTAAAGAGACTTCGTAGCAGGTAAAAAGAAAGTTTGGTTTTCGCGAACATTTCCGTCCGGGTACAACGGACGAAGAACAAGAAGCGAAAACAATGTCGGATGATCGTTTCGCTTTCGCACCTCAACGGATGAAGGCCGAACGATCCACGGTCGATCCAACTTCTCCCGAACTCGATCAGTTTCCCTTTTAATCGGTTCACGAGCGCGAACCAGCCCGTGAGGCCGACGAATCGATTCGCTTCGTGTACGATCGATGGATGAATTCGATCAACGATTTCGTCGACGACACGATCGAGGATGGTAAGAACCATCGGGGGAGGGAGGGGGTGAGTTAGACAAGAAGAGGAAAGGTCGGAACGAGGCGTCGGGAAAAGGACGAGGTCGGAAAGGGGAACCGGCTGCTGGTCCGACGACGCTCGCCGACGCTCGGCGTCGCTCGTGCGGCTCCGTCGCAGCGAGGCGGGGTTTAGGCGGGGTCGATACGAACAGTGCCCGTGTCTTCTCGTCGTTTCCGTGCAGCGTCGTTCTAATCGCATCGTATCGAAAAGTGGCAGCGGTTACCGCCGCAGTTCGGCGCCACCGCTGCACACACTTGCTCTCTCGTTGGCCTCCACCACCGCCGCCGCCACCACCAACGCCAACGCCACCGCCGCCGCCGCCGCCGCCGCCGCCGCCGCCGCCGCCGTCGGATCCCTGATATCATCGTGCATCGTCGCACTCGTTCGAGAGTCGGCCGAGTGCACCGAATCGAGTCGTGGACACAGAGAGACAGAGAGAGAGAGAGAGAGAGAGAGAGAGAGAGAGAAAGAGAGTGTGTATGTGAGAAAGAGAGAGAAAGAGAGAGAGAGAGAGAGAGATTACGTTACGTCGAGTCGCGAGAGTCCTCTTGCTGGAGAGGGGCCGCGCGGAGAGCAAAACCGAACAACAGAGACAGAGAAACAGGCGAGCGAGAAAGGAAGGACAGCGGGTGAGAGAAGGAAGGAGCGACGCGGACGAGAGCGCGCGCGCGCGCCTGTCGACCCACCGGTCGATCGACAAGCACGTCGTCGACGGGGCAATCACGACGACGACGACGACGATCGAGGAAGAACGTGGCGCACAAGGATAATAGAGACACGCGGTCGAGTTTCGTTTCTCGGTTGGTGTCTCGATCGGGGTGAGAGTGAGAGCGGACGCGAAAAGAAAACGTAGGAAGAACGATCGAGGAAAGAAGAAACGCGCAGTAAAGAAAGAGAAAGAGAGAGAGAGAGAGAGAGAGAGAGAGAGAGAGAGAGAGAGAGAGAGAGAGAGAGAGAGAGAGAGTGTGTGTGTGTGTGAGAGAGAGAGAGAGAGAGAGAGAGAGAGAGGNCAAAATCTGAGAGAGAGGGGGAGAATGAGAGAGAGAGAGAGAGAGAGAGAGAGAGAGAGAGAGAGAGAGAGAGAGAGTGTGTGTGTGTGAGTGAGTAAAAGAGAAAGAGAGGGAATCAGTGCGTGCGTGTGTGCGTGGTAGGAAGAAAGGAAGAAAGGAAGGAAGGAAGGAAGGAAGGAAGGAAGGAAGGAAGGAAGAGGTAAAAGAGAAAAAAAAAAGAGAGAGAGAATTGGGTCGAATATATCGTCGGACATGTGCGCGGCGCTGTGCTCGCAGCCAGCAGGGACGTGATGGTACGTAGCTCGCGGCGTGCAAGTTATCAGGATTGCTCGCGGTCACGGGTTCGTGACGACCATGGTGAGGAGTGCGACGGCGTGAGCGACGACAACGAGCGCGCTATCGCGAGAGAGAGCCTCGGGGCGCCGCACGCCGACGGACGGAGCGGCGTTGCCACCTCTCTTCGCCCGCTACACCGCGAGAAGCGATACGGCAACCAAGAACACCGTCGTTGCCACGTCCGCTGCTACGTTCCGCTGCCAGCCGGGACGGCGGCTCGCTGCTCGCCACGGCGACCATCTCTCTCGCTACGCTGCTAAGCACCTACACGGTAAGCCTCTCTATACCGCCCTGCGAAAACCTGTGGTAGTCGCGCGAATCGACCAACAAGCCCCGTATACTACACGCTCGGTACTCTCGCTCGCGATCCTCTGCCGAAGATAGGGCCCGCCGCCGCTGCTGTTGCTGCTTACGCCGCGAGATCCTGTTGCCTCGAATAGCTACCGAGTGCTCTCCCCGACCGGTATATAACGTCGACGTTCCAGCAAAAACGCTCGAACCACCGGTGTTACCGTGGCAACGCTCCTATCGACGGAATTTCCTATAAGCGTCCGACGCGCAACAGACGAACGAGATTCTTCCATCTCGATACGCGAAATGTTCAAATGTCAGCGAGCTCGACGTGAACGCGACAATTGAAAATCGCGTGACAGAAAAAAAACAAATAGCAACGTACTTTGTCACTCCGTCGGAACACATTCTCTGACGCTCGCGGGCAAGTTCCGTCTAACCTCGCGATTCTTCGTTTTCATTTTTACTTTTCTCTTTTCTCATTCTTTCCCACTCTGCTACTTTGTTCTTTCCCCTTTAATCCGTCGAGACGAATAACAAACGTGTGAAACGTGATCGTCACCGTGAAGAAAAACCGACAAAAAAATCGACTGTACCCTGCCGATCGTTCCGAGCGTCTGTCCAAAGTACCTGTACACGCGACAAACGAATCTGACGGTGACTTTATGCCAGACCTTTCTCAAGTTCGAACAGCAGAAGAAGCCCTTCTACTCGGTCCTTGCTCTCTCTCTCTCCTTTTCTCGTTTCTTTCTCTCTCTTTCTCTCTCTCTTTCCCTCTTTCCCTTTCCCGTAGTTCTTCATTACTCGTGGCATTCCTCGTGGAACAACCTCGTTTCTGTCGCGTTCCCAGCCTTGGCGGATCATTCGCGGACCGAAATTGCACGAACGCCGCGAACCGCCGACTCTGTCGCCGTCGACGCAGGTGGTCGCTGCCTTTCCTCCTTTCTTCGAGTTCGTTAGGCCATGCGCAGTGACACTTGGCCTCTGTTATTATCGCGCGGGAGATCGGTGCGCGCGCCAGCTCTAAAAACCTAGTTTTTCCAAGCCGACGTGGTCGCGTGACTAGCTGGTTTCACTGTCAAGTACCTTTCACGCGAGGACATCGTTGCTCGTCGCGCGCGTCGCTACGATAAACGCGGTTCTCCGTTGGTCGACCAGGGGGAATTTTCCTCGATCTGCTTCGGTCACTTCCAGTTCGCAGCAGCTCGCAGGAAGCCACTCTTTTTTTTTCATTGAGCTACCACTTAACGGCTGCTCGCGAAAAGCGATCCGCTGTTAGACCGATTTCGCGCGCCGCGCCGCGCCGCGCCAGAGCCCGAGAGAGAGCTGAGAGTTCGCGCGAGAGATGCCGCGACTAAACGCCGCGACTAAATTCGCTATGATCGAACATCGCTGGAAACTGATGGACGACGAGAAAAGGGACGAAGAGAAACCATCCCCTTTAAGAGATAGACCTTAAAGTGGCTGGTGTAACTCGTTTCTGCTCCCCTCCCTCCCCCTTCTGCCCGCCCGCCATCCCGCTCGTTGGATTTCAACGAGATATTCCATTATTCTAAATATATCGACGGCGTGTACCAGTCTCGCGTAAATGGAAATGGCAGCTCCCGATGTATCCTAACGTGATTACGTGCGCGTGTGTGTTCCTCCCCTTCCCCCCTCCCCTCCCCTCCCCTTTCCCCTCCCTCGCTCACCATCTTCCTCCCCTCGGGCTAGTGTGCAACGACTACCTGCATTTCGGAATCCTCCGACCATTATTAGAACGCGCATCGATATCGCGGGATGCCGGCTACATTAATGCGTACGTAACGCGATTTAATTTTAGATACGCGGAAGATCGGCTATCGCCGATTCGCCTTGCTGTCGCGTGAGGACACCGCCGCGGCACCGCGTGGAAATGTTTTGTTCAGGTAAGCGTGTTTAAGCGTGATTAGAAGCGCGAACGCACACGACGACGAAAGCACACACGGTCTGCCGCAGCCTTAATTAAGAAAAGCAGTCGATCGTTTGTTGTTCTTTCGACACGTTCTTTTGGATTAACAATCGGATGGCGCAGCTGTTTCAGAACCGACGAGTAACACGACGATGGAGGCGAAGGAGAGGGAGAAGCCGCTGGTTAAAGACTTGAACGAACATATCGTGTGTCCTCTCTGCAGAGGTTACCTCATTGACGCAACGACACTCGTGGAATGTCTGCATTCTTGTTAGTATTTCTTTCAACCAATCGTAATTTCCCGCCGCGGCCGCGACCGGACGTCGAAGAATTTTTGCTGATCTAACTCACGTGTCATCCGTTCATTATCATCAATTTACAATGGAAAAATATTGACGCGCGAGCGGAGTTATATCGATTGGTGTCTTTTGGTCACGAAATAGCGGTATTATAGCACCGGTATCTCGCATGGCTGGTATAATTAACGCGTTACGTAATCAATTCATTTGCAATGGAAAAATATTAATTATTCGTTCGATGATCACTGTCGTACGATAAAACTACCAACGACTAAGGTATGAAACCAGTATCCGAGCAACGAAGTTGCAAAGAATAGAAAAAGATATTCAATCGCTTTGAACGCGTACTACTACACTGTTGTGAATTTACAAAATTACTACGAATTGGTCATGTTGGTTATTCTGGCAGCGTTGAGCGTTAATCAGTTCTACAATTAATCATCGATGAAATTATTTTTCGGTAATCAGTACGCGGAATGGAACGCGTACTGTACCGTACGATCTCGAACGACCGTATCTACTTTCGCGTGCGCTCGTCTGCCCCTCTGGCAGGGTGGCTAAATTCGAGAAGGGTGACTAACCGCTCCGCTCTCCATTTCCTGCGTTTTAATAATCTCCCGGACGAGCGGAGATTTTCAAATAGCAACCGTTCCATCGCGCACGCAGAGAGAGAAAGAGAAAGAAAGAAAGAAAGAAAGAGACGATCGTAATAATTAAAGCGTTTCGAGAAGCACACAGGATGGAATGTAAAACACAGCATCGTACGATGCTTCTCAGTTTGCAGAGGATGTATAGTGAGACGGTTGAGCAGCGGTGCCAGAGCGTGTCCCGTGTGCAACGTCGCAACGTCTCCGCCGCTCCTGCCGGACGTAAAGCTGCAACGACTGGTCTATCTCGTGGTACCGGGCCTCTTCCGGTCGGAGCTCGAACGAAGGCGTCACTTCCGGCTGGTGAATCCGCAATGCCCACCTTTGGCCCTGCCGTTGGGCGCGCTCGACTTAACTTTGGACGATTTCGTCAGCCTGAGTCTGTGCGAGCTCGACGAGCCGGAAGAGGAGGCGGCCGCTCACGAGCCGGAAAACCGTGCCGGTTCACGGCATCGATCGGCCAACAACAACGCCGATCAAACGAAACAAGACGAGGACGGGATCAAAGTTAGGAGCACGCGGTATCTCAAGTGTCCGGCAGGAGTGACGGTCCGACACCTGGTGCGACTGCTGATGCTGAAGAGAGGATGGGAGGAGGCGAACTCTCACGGCTCGAGCGTCAACAAGATCGAGATGCTTTGCGAGAAGTGCAACGAAAATCGTCGCGGTGGCGCGAAAACGATGATACTGGACCAAGCTTGGACGCTGCTGGACCTCGCCTGCATATTCGGCTGGAAAAGAGTGAGTCTCGCCCTTTCTACCTTGTATCTTTATTTTAGCGAATTTGTCTCGTCGAATTCACCCGTTCTCTTCTCCCGTATCGTTTTATCGCTCGTAACCCTTCGCAGACGCGCGGCAAAGGTCCGAGCATTTTACCTCGCGACAATTTGAATCACTTCCTATTGCGTCAGTCGCGCACGTAGAACGACGATGCTCGCGCGATGATGATGCAAGATACCACAGGAGAAGCGATAATTTTAACGTTGCAGGAAGCACCGATGAAGCTGTTTTATCGCGTGATGTGCAAGGAGGACGCTGTTGCGTCTGCATCGGGCGTGAGTTCGTTCAGCGACGAGGCGGCCAAGGATACCGCAACGATGGAGAATATTCAGAGGCCGCCGACACCACCGCCAAGTCCCAAACCGGTGCCACCTCAAGAGTGCGAAGGAATCGAGGCTCGTAGGATATTGGAGAGCAACGTTGAGCCGTCTCAGTCGCTGAAGACCAACTTGGAGGTCGACAAGGAGCCAAAAGTGAAAAAGCCCAGGTGCACAGTGACACCGGTTATGAGGACGCCGAATCTCGTGCCGATACAGACAAATCTCACGGCGGAGAGCTCCAAGACCAAGGAGCTGACACCGCAAAAGCTCGAACACCACAAGCACAAGAAGCGACGAAACAAGCGTGTGATCGCCGAGATCACCACCACGCCGCGAGAGGATCTGTTGAAGCTGAAGGTTCGACTGACTCCGTGTCCACCGCGGATCACGTCGAGCAGCGCGAGCGGCCAGGCAAAGGAGAAACTGCTGCAAATGAGAGCCGTGAGGAGAGAGAAAATCAAAGCTACGACCACGATAAGTCAGCAACGATCGACGGACGGAGCGTTGGTCCGAGAGGAGGGAGCCACCGCGAAGGAGACCATCGGGGATACGATAGAGGAGGAGACGATAGAGGAGATTATAGACAGCATACCAGACGAGGTTGTCCGAATCGCACAAAATATAGCTGCCCCGGCGGAAGATGCGCCCGCGGCGGCAGATAAGACGAATCAGAGGAACGTGCAGAATTGCACACCGTCGCCAAAGAAGGAGGAAAAGGAGCCAGACGCGGTGGAAGGAGCGGAGCAACCGGAACCGGAACATCCGAAGAAGGACGAGGAGATTCTTCGGAGATTGGGCCTGGTCGCTGTGAACGAGGCCGGCGACAACTTCCGCGACAAGACGAAGCAACGGGCGCAGAACAACGGGGAGAAGATCGACAACTTGGACAGGGAGAAACTGGAGAAACAGTTGCGCGAAAGTAAAGCGAATCGCGTGAGAAGCTTGCTGGCGGAGAAGCAGATGCGCGACGCGTTGAAGACGATGTCGAAGACGAAAGAGGAACAACCCCCCGCGCCCGTTCAGGTCGCCAGCCCTCCGAAAAAGAAGGGGCCGCCACCGTTGACGCCGCTGCGCGTCGCCAAGCCTTCCGGTTTCGCCGCGTCGAACGCCATTTTAGAACCGAAAAATTCCAAATACGAGATCCCGCTAGACCTGAGCAGCGGAGGAACGGTACGTAACAACGTCCTCGATCTCTCTGCCAGTCTACCGACCAATTTCTCCTCGTCTCCCACCTCTTCGTCCTCGTCTTCTGCCTCTTCGTCCTCTTCATCATCATCATCGTCATCGTCGTCGTCGTCATCATCCGCTTCGCCCTGTACCGCGTCCTTGTTGAACCCAAGACCAACGCCGCGACCGATCCCGATGGTCAGCATATTGAAAACAAAAGCGAAAGCCTTGGAACAACGACGCGGTCAGGATTCCAATCTAATGACACTTTCTGACGCGGCTGTGTCCCTGTTAAGCGGCTGCATCACCGACGAGAACTCGGTCGATCCTTTGGTACTCAGCTCGACCAGTCTCGCGAACAAAGTCGCTCTACGAATACCGCAACCTCATCAGAGGATCTCCAGTTTCGGGATAAAGATCAAGCCGAACTTGAGCATCAGGCACATACCTAATCCTCAAGCCGTGGTCGCGTCGCAGTACAGAAATCAAAGAGTCAGTTACTTCAACAACGCCTCGCAACAACCACCGTAAATGTCGCCTCTCTCGCGTATCGACTTATGCGTACACTCTACTACGATTCTCCTGTATCCTCCATTCTTTCCTCCATACTTCCTGTTACTTACTATAGAGAAAAAATGTTTTCCTACGGAGAGAAACGATTCCTACGTGACCAATATCCAAAGGCTGTACGTTACCATATATATATATATATATATATAATATATTTCCTCCCGCTTCCTACAACGTGTTTCCTACGAAACGCGACGACGAGTTGCGTGTGGGCGTGAAGACACACGGTACACCCGGTAGCATAAACTAGAACAAGCCGACTTCGGAGGTGAAAGTGGAAGAATGATTGCAACATTTAACGCCGCGCGAGCAAATGAAAGCCGAAGGGAACATTAGCCGTGCACTTTTTGATAGCGCAGGAAACGATGATTGTCGACGAAAAAATTACACTTGGCGGAGGATTTTTTTACACTCTAGAGACAAAAAAGTAGCGAGAGAGATGAATTAGTCAGGAGTTACCCTGTGTCTTTTGCCCTCGGATGAGAAACGATGACGGTGTATGGAAAACCAAACGTCGTTACCTAAAGTATACATTAAAACTACGTATGTTTGTAATGCATGTATGTATGTGTGTCTATGATCAAACATTAACTACGATACATTTGGCCAAGCTGACCAATTCGTTTGTGAAAAAGGTCGGCGGATCCATTCTATTGGCAATGGCTCCACAATGCCTGACGAAAATGTATTAGACGTACCATAAACGTATGGTTAAGGATCGTAGAGACGAGACGAACGGTTAGAATGTGGATGGATGACGGATAAAACTTTCCTGTCCCCACGTGTCGTCGCTCCTTTCTCGTTTTGTTTATTTCTTTCTTTTCTCTTTTTGTTTTAGAACCGTAGGGAACCATGTAACTTCATAGAGATGCCAAAGAACGCCGGAAAACGTGTGCAATGTACTAGTGCAATTTAATTATTATCGTCTATCTCGTAATATAATATAATATATTAACAAGCGATTTATTGCGGTGGAAGGCCAATTTATAATTTCGCGGTTAAAAGAAAGGACAAAGAAAAAAGGGGAACATATTGGTAATATCTACGTGTAACGATGGGTAACCCCCGCGGAAATTAGGAAAAATTCGAAGCTTGGAAAAGCTTTGCGAGATCATTTTTTGACGTACGCTCGACTATCCGGTATCGGGACGTTACTGTTGAATTTGGGAGTTGAAGATGTTATCTATGGGAAGCTTTTTATTTCACGAGGAAGCGTAAACTCATATCGCTGTTATCGGTTTATGAATAATATATATCATCGTCTTGAGATCGATCGACGATCGAGCGCGTCGGAGAACATTGAAGAAGGAAATGAATCAAGAAATCGAATCGAATCGCTCGTCGTGCGTGATACACGTCGATTTTTTTTAATGCTGTATCGACGAACTTTGTACCGACGAATAGGGCTGCTCCTGTTCGTACAAGGACAGCAATAAAGATGAATTCTTGATTTGTTGGGAATTTTCAATAAAAACGTTTGTTGGGGGTATCCAAATCCTACTCGATAAATCAGAATGAATCAGCGTTCGAGCGTGTAAAGATCGCGTAGAAACAGTATGTTCAACGATCGAACGAGGATCAAGGTGGGTATGCGTAAAAAAGTTTAGAATTTCAACCCTTTGTGTCCGGGATTAAACTATCCGTGACAGTTTTATTCAATTCCAGCAAATTTTGGCATACTATAAATACATATAGGGGAATGTTCAATTTTGTAATAAATTAGATATTTATAAGGTAGAATGTAGAGGGTGAAAACACGTCTAGTCGAGGAAAATAAATTCGAAAATAGAGGAACAGTGCCAACACGAGAGAGTGCAGAGAAACAATGGAGAATCCATCGATGTCCATAATTCGGGACGAGGTCGAACGTTTAAATTAATTACGAAATTCGTGTCAATTAGTTATACGGCATACCCGTAATCGATCACAGTTGCAAGGGAAAGGGGAACCACACAATTTCGAGTAAGCTAATAATCAAAAAAACAAAAAAAAAAAAAAAAAAAAAAAAAAAGAAATCGTCTGACCAAAAATAATAGTGGTTTCTTTTTTTCAAAAAATTTATACGGACGCAGAACCTACACGTTGCACAGAATACGTGAGTTTGCACAGGGCCACTAAAGCAGCTTTACCGGTCCCGAGCGGTAATATAATTTTGAACATTTTTAAATTTCACAAATAAAATACTTCGAGAGGCTTTTTTTTTCATACCGTTGAACACGAATCCGCACTGGGATTGTAAAAACGTTTGGCTTATCCAGTATCAGTTTTACTGACCTAAACGTATAAACGTACAGCGCGTTCTGTTTAACTAGAAACGCTCAAATATCTCGAAAAATATGAATCGTACGAAAAAAATGTTTCAGACAGAAGTTGTACGGTATCGCTGGGAACATTTATCGCCTTCAGCTATTTGATCTCATACTTGAACGACTATTTGTTAACTATATTTCCACACAAATCCATATTTTTGGAGGAATATAACTAAAAAAGTACATTATTTTACGTATTAAATATATATTGTAGAGAATACTATGTGGATTTTTAGATATTTTTTCACATTGCGGGCATTCTGTGTGATTTTATATTTAAAAATTTGTTGCAAATTTTTACTTAAAGCCACTTAGAATAACTCTTCGACTGAATAACTAGAATAACTCTGTTTGACTAACACTAGGATATTGTACAGATAATCTTGTGATCATCAATAACAAAATAATTGATTCAAAGAGTATGATATGTTGCACTGTATCGAATAAACTGTATATATGTTCAAAAATGTATTCTTGTAATTTGTCGTATGCTCTTCATTCGCTCAAACTTTCGGACATTTGGGCAAATTTCTATCAAATGTTTCAAGAATATTTTCAACCGTAGAAATGGTTTTACTGAAAGTAAAGATGCAAGAAAGAAAACGGAGAAATAGAATTATTCTGTTTCGAGTGTCGAGAACTGAATGCAACGGTTGAAGTAAACTGATCGTATCGTCACTCGATCGAGCAGACAATTATTTAAACGATCGATCTCGCGATTCCCTTGGTTACAAAAACCCCCATTCTCGTACAAACTTCTTACAGCGAAGTAATTCGTATCTCGTATTCTTCGACACATCGTCATACAATTTTACACAATGTAACACGCTCTTGGGCACGCATTTTCGGCTTCGTACAAAGCTCCGGAAACCACTGATCATTCCTTGTCGACCGAGCGTCTTCTCAATTTTGAGAAACCACGAACACATGCCACGACGATGTTTCGCATGTTGTTTCAATGAGAGCGCTCGCCCTGGATTTCTCAAATCTGACGATTGCCGTGGAATTCTCGCCGTCGACAGGCAATTAGACGGTTCGACTCGTGGCGACCGGATTCCGCTAATGAATGTGAGCCGACGGCCGTGGAATCTCTGAGTCGCGCGTTATCTCGGCACCTGCCTGAAAATTTCGTCGAAGGGTCCGGGAAAAAGGGTCGCGTGGGTCGTTTGCACCTGTCCCTCCTCTTGCGGCCAGCTACCAGCAAGGTACAGGCGCCACTTACCAGCGTAACGAATCGCCGACTGTCGTGAAACGAGACGATTTACGAGCATGTCTAAGAATTGACTCGTGTCAATTGCCTCGACGTGACGTAAAGTACACGGAGTTGAACGTCCACTTTGTCCCCTGAAGAGAAGAGAGAAATTGATAGGGAGGTGGGGAAGTGAACTGGGTTACTGTGACCAGAGGGGTTTTGTTTGAGTTGGGCAGAGCGAAGGAAAGTCGAGAGCGAAGGAGAAAAGAGCCAAGCGTCCTTAAGAGGATGTCACGGGGCGACCTTCGTTTCGAAATCGATCGATCACCTCGTTCACGAGGCGTCGACCATCACCCGGGCTCGTTTATTACTGACAACAGGCTACCCTGTTGCGATGCCTCATCGGCGCATAATCACCCGTTACATCCGACGACTAATTGGTAACGAGGTGGAGATCGCGTCGTGCAGATAACGCGTTAGCGATTCGTCTCGATTCTAAGATAACTTTTCAACGAGCTTGTAAAACAGAGAGAAAGAGAGAAAGGGATGTGGAGAACGCGGGTAATTTTCAATTTACCGTAGCGGTAAAATCGCGAGCCTGGCAACCGCTGATTATCGACAGCGTTCCTGCCGGTCGATAAATACATTTTTCACGCTTACGTTGGTCTCGTTAACGAGTCGCGTCTCTCTTCTTTACAGACAGGCGTTCCCTCAGATCGTTTAAGCATCGTGGATAAAAAAAGAAGAAGAAGAAAAAAGAAACATTATCGGCGCGAGAATTAATTACCAACTGGTCGGAAATCGATGATCTTCGTTCGACAAGTTGTAACGACGCAGTTTTAAGGTCTATTTACAGTATCGAGCCGTGTACAACAAATGCACCGTCGAAGCACGTGTCGATTTTATCATGATTTCCAATTATTATTCATTAATGTATAAATGCAAAGCTGAATGTTTAGCTGTGTCATTTGAGGAAATTAACTCTAATTAACTGAGGAGATTTGTTGGCAATAAAAGTGAAAAATGAACTGGTTTCTAAACTGAAAATTAAACAAGAAATTTTGTAACCGTCATTGAGAAACATTCTGGTCAGACTGAATGGATGTTCCATTTTCTTATTTTGTATAATTCTCTTCCTTTAACGCAATGACTATTTTTTCTAAGGAAACTAAATCTGCGGTTGAAAATGAAAAATATACGTCAATGCGTTGAACGTTTGATTTCTTTTCACACGAGGAACAAAAATAATAGATAATAAGACAGAGTTTGGCATTAACCGATTAAAATTTTCCAGCACGGTGGACCAATTAATATTTACGTCTAATAAAACTGATCGTTGAAAAATTGGCAACTGATTTAATCGTCGTAAATGAAATTTGATCATCAACAGTCGTTTAAAGGAAATCAATCGTTGAAAAATTGGCGACTGATTTAATCGATCAGTAGTGTCAATCGTCAATTATCAACTCTTAATCGAATTTCATTTAAATTGAAGCTATTCTTTGAAATTACAATCGATACTTCAAGATTAAGATATTTTTGCAGGTATAGTACAACCTGCAACTTCAAACTTACACTTTAAACTTCTGTTAAATAAGCAAGCAATAATAAAGATACTTCGGAAAACGGTAATTTCCAACTACAAAAAAGAATTTCAGCGGGGTGATAAAAATTCAAAGTAAATCGTTAATAATAACGATTAACGATTAAAGGAAGAATGCTCGGTCGCAATTAACGATTAAAAGTTCCTCGCAACCAACGAATAAAATAGGAATCTAATTTATAACAAGATCACTGGAAAGATTAAATTATCAATCGTTAAAAGTATAATTTTCTGTTACGACTCTGTAATCGAACACACTGTCTTTACGCGTGAAGTAGCATCGAGAGCGACATTGGATTTAATTGTCACCTATCGATCAAAGATACGGAGAAGAAAATTGCTCAGGAAGAAGAAAACGTTTCGAGCGCGATGGGATGAACGCGAACAGACACCGACGACGTGTAATTGTTCGTCGGATTGAGAGCTACTGGTTAAATATCGATGCGTTGCATAACGCGAAGCGATAGAGTCGAACAGCTCGTTTCCATGAAGCGGCTAAAAGCGTGCGCCAGAATTCTACGGTAACGACGTTAACACGATAATGTTCAACGCTCGTGCATAACCCGATCAGCGAGAGGTACACAGCCGATCATCGCCGGCCGGTACTTTCCTTATCAATATTCAAGGGAATATTGAAAGAGCCGAGAGACGTATGGTATCATCGGACTAGAAGACCTTAACGTTTCTCCGTTTGTCGCGAAACGAGGTTAAAAGCACGGCCGCGTGGTAATTGCATCACTGCAGAATGTGAATGATAGTGTAAAGACCACCATCGTCAAGTGGTAGGCGGATACGACCGGCACGGTGTCGAAGGTCCTTCACCCTCGACGACGATTAACCTCATGTGTGTAGAGCGATGGCGTCCCTCTTTTTCACCTCTCCCCTCCCACCAACCGCCAAGTTGATCGGTAATTACAGCAACTCCGAACGACGCCATCTCTAATTTTGACGTCTTTGGAATTCAGGTTTAGATCCGAGGCGAGGGAAGGGGATCGTTCGAGGACTGCAAAGTCGACGTGATGTCCTTACGAACAGGCCCCTCTTGCCTGACACCGGAAAATACGCGTCCGGAGAGACGGGCGGATGCGTCGAACCTTCCCGTTTTATCGTTAGAGGAGCCCAGAGAGCTGGACCAAGCATCGTGGGCTCGCTCGTCACGAGATACGACAGGTGTTCTAATTCCTAGGACAGTCGCGCCCCGTCTCTCCCGCTGGCGAACGAGACTCACGGTACTTCCGTTAGGGGTGAACTCGTGGCGACCTTCGGCGCACCGTGCACCGCCCTCGAAAATTCTTCCGCGTTTACCGGACAAATATTGGCACTCTCCGTGCCGCTTCGACAGCCGTGCAACGCTATTGTTGCAACTGTTGAAACAACGTACGAATTCTAGTGCAAATACGGCGACGAGATTCAAATAGCATCGGACGAAATAGTTTGAAAAAAGAGAGAGAGAGAGAGAGAGATGAGGCAGGGGGTAGAAAGTTTGGAATCGGGGATGCGCGTTCGACGCCGGCCCTGGGCGTCGCACGCTCCACCGCCTCCTCTCCTCTGTCCGCGTCCTCCTTCGCCCAAGGGCGGCTAGGCTCGTCGAAACTACCCTCGCGCGACCATTGGTCCCCGGACTCGCATGCGCGCCGCGCGAAAACCGCTTCCTATTGATCCGCCGACGCGTTTCCTCCGCGTAGCCTCGCCATCCCTCGCTGTCTCTCTCTCTCTCTCTCTCGCTCCTTTCTCCTACCCCATTCCTGCAAGGACACTCGCACGCAAGATTCAGCGAGATATACGAAAACCGAGTCTCCGCGGCTGCTGTTCGTTCCTCATCGTCGCCGCGCCAACGCCACCCGGCTGGCTGGCTCTCTTTTTACATACCTCTGCCTTCAGCTCATTGTTTTCAGCTGTGCGGCTGGCTGGATCGCTTTTCGGAACACCGAGGAACCATGTCCATAGGCCCGTCAAGAAGTAACACGGATTCGGTCTCCGTCGCGGGAATCCGATCCACGAGGGACGATCTCGTTGGTTTTTCTCGTTTGGTGATGGATCTATCATCTCGTCAGTCATCGAAGGACTCTCGATTCGACGTCCACACAGCCGCGCATGGTTTTCCAATAACCAAGAAGTTGCCCGTGAGAGAATGTCAACGAGAAGCACGGCCGGATTTTCACGATAGTTTCGCGACGAACATTTGGGATCGTGTCTTTAACATGGTGTTCGAGAAAGAACGTAAAGGAAACACGGTCGAAGGCGAACGAAGGAAATTGGCCGTAATTACAGGTGGGCGAGATCTGTATCACGACGAGCGAGAGAGACGATTTACTGGACGGAGAGAAGAAACTAAAGAAAATCACGTTTCTTTCGTTCGTTTCACGGCGAGCTACTCGAACTTTCAAACTTTGTCCAAAGACGTTCTACCTTCTACTTCTCCCCCTTTAAACTGCTCGTCATTAGAGACAAATGAAATCACAATTTCCCTCCGCCTCCAACCGCCGGAAGGCCTTTTCACCCTTTCCTTCAACCGCGGTGACGGCCAAACTCTTCTGTAATTATTTCAGCCCCGCGAAGATTTAATTTCTAGCGGCGGTAATATCGATTAAAGTCGACCTCGCGCGAGCACCCGCCAAGTAAACGAACTTCCACGAAGGAAAATCCTGGCTACGCCGGTCCCTCCCTCTTCCTACCGTCGTCGTCTTTCTAACGTTCTTTCTCGAGTTTTTCTTCTCGGATATTTCGAAAGGCGGAGAGAGCCCCCGAGATAGAAGCGCGAAAGGAGGATCAACCCCGGTTCCATGGAAACGATACGACGCGGCTCGTTTCTCTCCTCTTCTCCTTCCCTTTCCCCATTTACCATCCGTCTCGATACTTTTCGCATGCAAATTGCAGTTGAAACACCAGCGAGCGTCGCCGCTAATTTCGGATGCCACGTCCCCGTCCAATGAAAGATTTATGAAAAAAGGCTGGACCTGGGTAGTACGCTCGCGACAGGATCCTCCCGTGGTATCTTCTCTCGGTTTTGAGAATTCCCTTTTCCAAACTTGCCTGACGTGTCTTGCCTCGGAGAGGGAGTAGTTGGACGGAAAGTTGCGCGACCTACTAACCTTTCGATGGGTAAGCACGAACCTAACCTTCGATAGTTGACGAAACGTGAAGTCCAACCCGTCGAATCTCCCTTTGTCAATTATCGATGGAAGAAGAGACGCAAACTGTTAAAAAAAAAGAGAGAGAAAGAGAAGTATTCTTCGAAGTTTATCATCATTCATGGAATCTCTTTCATCCACTATCATAATACAAAAGGAAGGAAATAAATCCGCAGAGATCAATTCAATCTCTTCACCATTAATGAGATTAGAAAACGAAACAAATTCAAAGAGTGTAAAAAAGAACACATGTTCTCCAACCGAACTTACGCTCCAACTTTGACACTCAAAGAAATGTAATACGAAATAAAAAAGGCTATCGTCGTATCTCTTCGTCATTTTTATTAAAAGAAAAAAACAGAAAAAAATAGAGAGACAAACTTGCGAGACGAAGAAAGAAAAAAGAAAAGAATTTGTTCCGAGCCGCGAAGGATTTTCTCGCTCGACGTTTCGCCACGGGTCAGGGTTAAACGGGCGTAAATCGCGTAACGATTTCAACGAGGCAAACGCAATAACGACGGAGAGAGATCCGCGACGGTTTCACCTGCGGCGCTGTGATACGGATCTGGAAAGGAGAGGTCGGGGATGAGGTCAGCGAATCAAAAGATCCTCGGTCCTCTCCACGAGAGAGGTAAGAAATGGTTCTTTTTTTTTTTCCCAGCTGGTAGGAGGGCAGACGGTAAAAAGAAAAAGCCGAAGAGCGTACACGGGGGAGGACGAAGGAGGACAAGCCCGAGTAACGCGGCGGATTGAATATTTAAGAGGCACTCCATTCGCGTGGAAAATCGAACGCTGTTCCTCCATTAAGGGGGCAAGCTACACCGGAAGAAAAATAACGAAGCCGAGGAAGGAATTTGTACGGCGTTTCTGCTGTTCTCTCTCTCTCTCTCTCTTTCACCATCAACTTCAATTTCGAATTGTTTGGTCGTCGATAAAGACAAACAATTTTTCCTCTGTTGGTCCGTCCGGCACCACGGAGGGGGAAATAAATAGAAACAACGCGGCCATCGTGTTTCCGATTTTTACCGAACGCGCGGAAAAAATCGCTACGGCGACGCCGACGCTCGAGAAGAGAATCGATACGTCGCGCTGGTGGTTATGAACTCGAGCACGAAAACGGAATATCCAACGAGAGGGATGTACGACGAATCGGTAAAGGGGGCGAGTTACGGCGGAATTAACTCGATTTGCCTGGCAGAAAGTGTCGGTGTATGTTTGACAGATGTTTCGAAACTGCTAACGTCAAGCCGGGCTGCCGCCTCTGCACGTTCGTTGGAAAGTTGTTCCGAAGAAGGAAACTCCGCGGAACAGGGTTACGAAAATATTGATACAATGTATGGCGAGGACTGCAAGATTTGGACAAGATACATATTGTATCAAGGGATTGAGTCGGCGGTGCAGCTTCCTGCAGGATCATCGGATAAAACAACAGACCCCTGTCTGCATCCTTAACACGATCAACTATGTTTGAATTCCGATTAACCTTAGAGCCCGATGATGCAATTAAATTGATCGATTGTTAGAAATTCTTGGAAATTGTATAATTTATATAATATATAGCAATATGTAAATACATAAAAAGCACACGTGTGCTATCATTTAGTTCTCAAGGATTAAATTAAATACTCCCTAAATTCTACAAATGGTACATAAAAATCGTCTCATGTTATATAGCGGGATCTACGCTGTCCGTAGTACTTGTATTTATCAATAATAGTTGCGTAGCAGAAGTCGGCGAAATGATGTATCGTTTGAAACACAAATACGACAAGATCCAGAAGAAAACACGGCAGTATCGGACGTACAACAGATTAAGTCTTAATCCAAGGAGAAACAATACAATTTCAATTGGAGAAAAATAGAAGACAGTAAGAAAGAAGACAAAAAGTATTCTTCGCAATTAATTATTGATAAATAAATGAATAATTTCTGTGTGAATTAATTTTGTAACTCTTTATTTAACAGAACGATGCCGCGAATATATGAATACACGCATTGCACACGACCGAAGAATCGACCGATGTACTTGAGACGATTAATCATTCTGAAATCGCGTAACAATCTCAAACGAGCAGACCGAAATCCTGCCGGATCGGTTGGAGGGATGACGGCGCAAACGTCGGACGAGGCTTTTCTCCATTCGAAAATAAGCCACGGGGATGAAAGGGTGGTGGGCGAGACGGTGCACAAAGTGTTGGCAAGGGTGAGAGTAGCTCGATGCAAAGTAGCTTGGTCTCTCTCGTAATCTGGCCTCGATATTCTCCCTTCTCTCGATTCGCTCTCCGCATCGAACCATTGTTTCCACGCTCGCTCTTTCTTTTTTCCTTTGCCTGCCTCCTCCCCTCTTCTTGTTTTTTTTTCCCTTCCCTTGCTATCCGGGACAAGAAGCGCGCGTCATTTTTCAAAGTGACGGATAGTCGGGAACCGCGGACGCATATTTCGTGACGAACCAAGTTTCGACGACATCCTTCGAAATGTTGGAGCAATTAAATAAAAACAAGAGGTTTGATCAAATGATTCATTGACGTGTTGATCCTTTCACGACGAGTGGTGTAAGTGACTTTTGCTGTTGAGATATTAATATAAATAAGTAAAAATATATATTAAAGTAACAAAGGATGATTTTTATATTATTAGACTTATTATTTTATATTTATGACAGTTTCTACAAAAAAAAAAGCAGCAAAACGAAACGAAAGAAAAGGCAATATTAGAAACCAGTAGAAGATAGTTTTGTTTTTTTACTTTTAGTTCTTATAAGATTATATGATAGAGCACAAGATAAATTAGTTCCATAAGATGTAGACAATAAGAATTATAAGTTAGAAAATAAGGAAGAAAGATGTAAAGAGGTACAAATTGTAAACCGGAAAACCATCCTAAATCGCCTAGGCAAGGATTATGATAAAATAAAAGAAAAATAATAATAAATAAATATAAATAATATTTCTCAAGCACAATGATCGCTGGACTTACAGAACTTGCTTGAGGATGTTAATAGATAAATTGTTCATAAGTGTGTTGGATAGGTATGAAGTTATATATATTGCGATCTAGCTTGAAATCGAAGTTGAACAGATAGCCTAATCGACATAGCTATCAGCGCCTATTTTCATTCAGGGAACACCTTTCACCAGGAGTATACAACGATCGTCTCCGTTAATAAATTAAAAAAAAAAAAGTTCCTACTTCTTCGGTTCTACGTTTACAAAAACACAAAAATTTGCACAAACATCTGCGATCTATTGATCGATACGGTCCTTGAACAGCACACGATTCCACCGAAATTTTGCAACCCCAACAAAGTTTCCCAAAAGAGACGTCAGCTTTCTCTCTGTACTGCCACCCACGCTTAAAAACTCCACAAAGGAGACCGTGGAAGCTGGGGACGAAAAAAAAAAAGGAAAGAGAAAAAAAAAGAAGAAGAAGAACCTCGGGTAAAACCGAATCCACGAAATTCGAAACGATCAACCCTCGCAGTCATCTCGGTGGTGAGTGGTTTTCTGGCTAACGAGAAAGAGTGATCCCTCCTTGTGCCGGCTTCCACCGCGCGATGACTCGCCGCATTCTCGTTTCAGCTGAATAAATAGGGGCGCCTAAACCGCTGCCGAACAACGCGCGTTGTCCTCCCTTTTCCTTCCTTTATCATTCCCCTCTCTCACACTCCCGATGTCGATCGATGCGCGACAAGGATGCACACGTGAAAAACCCGAGCGATTCCATTCATTAATACAAATGGCGGATCGTGGAAAGAAACGAGACGAGAATGGGGTGGATTTGGTCGGGTGTAGAGAGAGAGAGAGAGAGAGAGAGAGAGAGAGAGAGAGAGAGAGAGAGAGAGTGGTGCCACGGAGCAGAGAGGAGAGGAAACTTGACGAGGGATCGGTGCGGTCGCGTTCGCGACGCGACGCGACGCGACGCGACGCGGCGTGGCTCCGCGTTTTTCAGGCATCGATCGCGCGCAATTCGTATTCGTACGCAACTCACGCGCGTGGAACGAAACACGCACGCGTAAAAATCGACCCGATCGGCACCCAATGGTTTCCTGTGTTTCGCTGTTCGAACGCCGAGGGGGTCAGCGCCGCAGTTCGTTAAGTATCACACGCGTTTATTATTTTTTTCTCTGTTTTCTTCTTTTTTTTTTTTTTTTTTTTTAATCGCTGTTGATTGGTACCCCGAATCTAACAAAACAAAGCAAAGAACTGTGTTTGTTGCAACAAGAAATTGGGGTGCAGTGTGTTAAACGTGTGCTCACACGATTTTCAAACAAAGTTTTTTATTTTTATTTAACCACAAAAAAAAAAACAAGTAAATTCTTTTAATTTACGAGCTTTATATACTTCTTTTTTTTCTTTGTGTCTTTCGCGTAATATCGGCTGTCAGATAATCGCACCTGCTTTTCGTACCGCTTATCGAAAAGGTATCTACTGATAACGGATTAGTTGAACGCGAGGCAAAATGAATACACTTACTGAATTCGATTCATATTATTTCTGGCATTTAAAAAAAATTCTTGAAAGAAATCGTTCCAGTAGATACGAACTTACTTCTCTCGACGTTTAGACTCATTTCATAATCCTTTTCACCTATTATCAAAAAGTAACTTTATGAATATGTAACTGAACTTGTTCATTGGCTGATTTGTTAATTTTCGCATATACGTGTATTACATATTTGGAGTAAACGGATATATATTTTCACGGAATTACAGGGGACAAATATTTCGTCGTGATATGATGAGTTTATATTTCGAGAGAAGTATGACGACCGGGAAAAAGAAAAGATCGATTTGCAAAAAATGCACTGACGGCCGCGCGCTTTTCAAGCGCATTGTTACAAGCACAGTTCGCACAGTCTGGCACCTGTAATAATACTGTTACGATTAATCGGTCGTCTGTTCTTTGGTCTCTTCTACTCTCCATCACCTAACGATTTGGCTGATACACGAATTTCGTCGACGAACCGTCCATCTTCGCAGAACGCGACGCATCGAATACCGACTTTTTAATTTCGTTCATTGCTGAAGTCCAATCGATACAATTTTGGAAAATATATACCGCTCTTTACATATTTCTAGATTTCGCTGGACAATCTCGTTGCACCAAGCAAGATGCACGGTTCGAACGGACTTGCTAAGGTGGTCGGCTGTTTGCTCTCGAACGCAAGCTGAATCCAAAGTTCGTCACTGTTTAAATTCACTTAGCTACTTCCTTTTTTTTTTTTTTTCTTCCCTTGATGTAGATGAAACGAAATTCATAGAAGGCGACAGAGAGTGAGAGAGACATCGAATCAGACTTCACGCAATTAGTTGAGTGAGAAAAAAACAAAAGAAGCGGAGAGAAAGAGAGAGAGAGAGAGGGAGAGAGAGAGAGATCGAAAAGAACGGAAAAGACGAGAATCACAACACCTGGCTAAATTAATCGAAAAGACAAAGAACCACACGGCTGCTGCGCGTCCACTGATCTCAGCCTTTTGTGCTTTCTGTTGTGTTCACAGTGACGCGCCGTGCTGATGAAAAATCCAATCATAGATTCGTCTGCGAGCTCAACGTATGCTGGCTTTACGCGAACGTTTGAATCCATTTGCGTTTCACGAGAGAGAGTGGGAGAGAATGCGTGAAGTATGTCTGAGAGAGAATCGCGAACGATGTTCCGAGGTTAGAAATCGACGAGCTGGTTCAGGCTTACTGTCCATCCTTCGTTGCAACAAGCACAGGTCTCTTTCCCTTGAACGAAACGACGAATTTCAGAAAAGGAAGCAATTTAGTAGCAAATAAAGTAGTTCGCTTAGAACCGAGGTATCGACTCGTCGATAGTGCAATATACTCATAATTATTATATATAAATACATTTGTAGGTGTTCTATCCTTTCCTTTTTTTTCTTGCTTTTGTTGTTGTTTTTTTTTTGTCGACATTCCTGGCACTTGGTTTTTTTTTCGAATCTTTCCACATCCTATCGTTCTTGTCGTCTCGCTCGAAGCCCGGGAGCCCATAATTATAATAAACCGAGTGGAGAAAAGATATTTTTATAGAACGTTGCTCGTTCATTGTTCTGTCAGAGACGTTCTTCACAGTTGATGTTCTCGTCTTCGAACTCGTTTTTAGAATTAGAATTTTGCCGAATGTGCAATAAAACTTCTGTAACAGGCCTTCTTCGGGGTGAGAGAAACACGAGAGTAGCTCGTTTATATAAGTAGAATTACAGAATCGGTGGCAGCAGATAGTAAATTAATCCGAGCCAATCGTATCGGTGGAACACGGTCGAGATTCTACCATTTTGTAAGGCGATCGACGAACCAGTGTTTTTCGTCTTTTGTATGTTTCATTTCGCATAACCGGCCGTGTTCCAGCCGATAACGATGAACGCTCCAGAAGGAATCAATCGGTCGGTGTTTGAAACTAGGCAGCTCATGATAAAAAAAAAAAAAAGTATCGTATTGTGATGTTAATTTTCAAACAGTCACGAGAGATCGTTTAACTCGATTGTTTTCTCGGTTGCTTGGTAGTTTCTCGCGCGCAATCAACTCTTGCCTCTTTGTTGTGCATAATAGCACGAGATCAGGCGAACGTACGATCTCTGTTCGTGCTACGGCTACTTATAGACTATCTGTGTTATACATATACATACATCTTCGAAGAACGCACCATGTGGTTTCTTATCGCTCTCGTATGGCTTTCGATACTTAAATCTTACAATTAGAATATTTCCTACAGAGTTTCTCCGCATCGCACTGCAGCACATTCGTTGAAATTCACACGATACACATACAGAGACTCTCACGATATACAAAGGATTAAGCAGATTAGAGAATACTTTATGGATGGATGATTCTTCAAAAGACATTTTCGTGTCGTGCATGGCTGCATGTAGAATTACAGTTTATACGTTTATACCTACTGGTCTTATACAGTAATACATGTGTGCGTTTATCATTATTTCTTCATATTCTATTATTTTTGTTGTTGTTTTATTGTTTTTGCGGGACGATTGGCTGGGGTATTTTTCGGGGTAAATAAATAAGAGGCGAAAAAAAGAAAGGGAGAGAGAGAGAGAGAGAGAGAGAGAGAAAGGGAGAGAGAGCGTGCGTATGAAAGAAACTGATGACAGAGACTTCATATTTAGTTCGTTTGCAGAGTTCTAAATTTTTTCGCGTAGATAGTAGAATAGGCGCCGGTTTGTTGTATTGGCAAATTAGAATGAAAGGATTTTCTAGTTTTTACTGTTTGTTCCTTTGTTCGCAATCATCTCTCGATTACTAGAACTTTTTTCGTGTCATGTAGCAAATCCTTTCGTGCTCGTAACGGGAATCGGATTTTTTAATGGAAATTTTAACGGGAATCATTATCTTTTTTTCTTTTTTCTTTTTTTTTTTTTTAACGAAAGAAAGGGAAGAAAAGCAACGGAAAAGAAAGTTGTTCGAGAAAAGATCATTACCAAGCCAAAGAAAATAAATCGACATCCTGATACGAGCAGCCAATTCAAATAGCTCGCGCTTTCGTAAAAAATTCAGTATAACTTACATATCGCGATTTGTTAGAGATATGTCTGTCTGTGCTGACAAAAAGATGCGTAAAGTTGTGAAACAATGGCGAGGCTTGGTGATCAATGACACGCAAATTTTGTCGCCACCTGCAGGGAATAAAGACAGAGAGCTAAAAATCAATTGAAATCAAAAAAAAAAAAAATCGAAAAAAATGACGCAGGGCAAGGCATTGGCTGGGGGGCCTGGCGCGGCGGGATGGATGCAACAACGCGAGGCGGTGCCGGAATTTCCGCCACTCCACGATTCAGCGGATTCCGATTCTGACCGAGAAAATGAAAAACGGCCGCGCGTCTAAAATTACTTTTGGGATGAGCGAGCTAGAATGGTAACGAAACTAATAAAATAAAATACACGTAAAAAAAAGAAACGCAGCAACAAAATCTGAGAGAGAGGGGGAGAATGAGAGAGAGAGAGAGAGAGAGAGAGAGAGAGAGAGAGAGAGAGAGAGAGAGTGTGNTTTTTTTTCGTTATTACCACGCGGTCTGCAAGGGTTGTTAATTCGCAACCCCACCGAACCCGCCAATATCCTTAATTGCCTCGCGGTCTTTTCGAGATCTCTTCCGTGGCTTTTTTCTTTTTTCTTTTTTTTTTTTTCATTTTCATTCCCCGCGGAGTTTTTCGTCCGGAGCGTTGCCCGAGGCGAGAGAAAAGAGGGAACCCGAACGCAAAGCGAAACTTGTTAAAAAAAAAATGTAGAAAGTATCGCGCAAAGTACGACAGTTTCGCTGTCGAGGGTGGTTTTTCGACTGGGTGGATCCGCTCTTTATTAACGCGCGAGTGTGGTTTTTCGGATCGAGAGCTGGAACATTATAACACTGTACAAAATTATCGATTTATCGCCAGTGAAATTAATGAAATTGCAATCCGAATACGACCTGATTACGGTAGTCACGCCACGATCTTATCAGCATTATTGTTTCATAAATCCTGTAAATAATTTGTAAGCTTGTTTGCATCGTTGTCCTGTATAAATATAAAGTTCCTGTTTTATTAATCATCTGTCACTTTTGCTCTTAAATTCGTTCAATCATCGCTAAATGTAACTTATTACGTAATTGGCACAATAGAATTAGGTACTAATTTTCCACTTGTTGTCCCTGTGTTGCGTCGAAGACTTTAAACTCTCGTCGCGATCGATAAAATCTACGTGCAAACATAAAATTAAACAAGAGAATGTCGTTTTGTTCCAAGTATAATTGTTTAAAAATTGTTACAGAGCGCGAGTTAAATTATCCTTCAAGCAGGGGTTGAATCAACAAAAATAGCTTTCGGCACGGAATATTTCCACAGTGAAATCGAAACGGTTATTCCTGGTTACCCAGTCGACCACGGCGATCGTCGACTGGGAAAGAGAGAAGCTGCTGGATAATCTTTCCAGATATCGACTCCCCGCCAACAAGCCTCTCATTCCGCTCGCGCGGAACCGTTAGATTCACTTCGTTTGGCCACGCGGGGACGTGTCACGCCGCGCTGGAAGATAATTCCGACAGCCTCGTCGATAATGGTGGTCTCCTCGTCGATGTACCGCGTCAGAGGTGATCAACGGTGTGACCCCCGGCGGCGCGGCAATGGCTGGTCGATTCCTCCGAACGGACGAAAGTCGAATCAGGAAAGCGACTTCCGTCCGTGACACCGACGAGAAAAGACCAACGCGGGGAAGGCAAGGCGGAAGGCGAAACGCGACGCTTCGGGAGAAAATTAATTCCGTCAATGAGTCCCGCGAGGAGGGGGTTGGATGGAGAGAAGTGCTCCCCGTTCTGAATTTCTTATTACGACAGCGGCTTCGGAAAACTTTATCGTTCCCGCGGGGCCGGTTAATTGACACTTGGCCAGCGGAGCCAAGTTCACCTTCGCGTCCAACCGGGCTAATTAAATTCAACATAATAAAACAGGAAGGGAAAAGCTAGAGAGAGGTGACGGACAAAAAAGACTTCTCGGGGCAACACAGCCGGATACTTTGACGAAGTTGCCGGCGGAACGGAAGGGAATATAACCAGGCAGGCGAGATCTAGCGTGGAAGAAACGAAATTGAAATTAGATTGGAGGGAGCTGATGCGCGCACACGGTTTCATTCAGCCTGCGAAGATCGTCTTAATCGACGCGTTCCGAGAGGGAGGGCGACTTTTCACCGCCGAACACGCTGCATCCGGCAGCGCTTCCGAGCAAGCTAATCCGGCGTAATGAGGTAAGAATAAGAAGACGGTCGTCGGTTGGCAGAGTTGGCCGGAAGAAACCCAGGGAGGGGGAGGATAAAAGAGCGAGCCTCTCGTATCTGTCGCGAGCGAGGGGAGATAGGAGGAAACTTTCCAGGAGATTTCTTATCAAAATGTAAATCCAGCGACGACCCAACCTCTCCGATTTCTTCTTCGTCCTCGCTTGTCCCTCTTCCACCCGGTGCAACGAAGGCCTTACGTCCTTCTCGTCTTTCGCGATTCTTCCGTTTCTTTATCTTCCAAGAATCGTCGTCTTCTTTCTCCCTCTTCGACAACGACGGCGATTCGGTTCGAATCAGAGTCGAATTTCTCTTGGCCAGGGACGTTCCACCAACGTAGAAATCAGCCGATATTTTCACGATCGAAAGATTCCGAAGTGACGAGGTGCGGCGGGATTGATCGAGGCTCAACGTCAGCGGTACGATTGAAAAGCGAATCGAACGGCGTAAACGCACGCGCTCGTTGTATGCAAAAGAGCCGGACGATCGAAAGGCTAATATAAATCGCGGCAACGAGGTATCGACGGCCACGCCGGGCTAATGACCATTTACAATTTTACAACGTGCCATTTACAATTTAGATCAAGATCCATTGTCTGCGCGCAACCCTTCTTCCGCCGGTTATGAAAAAGCCAGAGCACCCTCGGCAAAAACCACCCTCCACCCTTGGCTCTCTCTCTCTCTCTCTCTGTATGTCTGTCTGTCTGTCTGTCTGTCCCTCCCACCCCCTTTGTTCATTCGCTTCCGCCTCCCTACGCCGGTTTCCCACCCCAACCCGTCAGCTGTGATACTTTCATTTCGTGCATTCAGCAATTTCGCGCGAGCCCGTCCAATCTAGCCGGCCTAAGGCCTAGTTTCCGGGGATGTTCGCTGCTACAGTCTGTTTCAAAAGTTCCGCGCTCACTTGTTTTTGCGATACGCGAATGCATGCAACATGTTCTTTCTTCTCGATCAACGTGTTGAATCTGTACAATATCTCAATATCGGGAAATAAGACAAATGTATCTTTCATTTCGCTCTTTTACTTATTTTTGCACATAGAACATCCTCGTGTCGATTAATATTCTCGCGACGGAATTAAGTATAAATTCAAGCGTACTCTTGGTAAACTCTCAAACTCGATTTCCTCGGAAACGAAGCTATCAGTGAGAAAATTTTGCTCTTTCTCTTTCGACTCGTTTTTTCACAGTAGAATCACCTGAATGTATTATAATTCAATGTTACGAATCGTGAGACTTTCAAGAAACATCATAGTAAAAATTATGACACTATTAAAACGGAAAAAGGAAAAAATAAATTAGAGAAAAGTGTGTCACGATTTTTGGATCTAAAATAAGTATACTAAATATTAAATATTAAATATACTAAATATATTAAATATTAAATATTATACTTGTATATTACGAATGTATTATAATTCAATGTTACGAAAAAATTATGACACTATTAAAAAGAAAACAGAAAAAAAAAAAAAAATTGGAGAAAAGCGTGTCACAATTTTTGGATCTAAAACAAGTATACTAAATATTAAATATTAAATATTATACTCGGATATTACGAATGTATTATAATTCAATGTTACGAATCGCGAGACTTTCAAGAAACATCACAGAAAAAATTATGACACTATTAAAAAGAAAAAAGAAAAAAAAAAAAATTGGAGAAAAGCGTGTCACAATTTTTGGATCTAAAACAAGTATACTAAATATTAAATATTGTACTAAATATTAAATATACTGTGTATTTCTCTGTTTATTGCTTTTTGTAAAAAAAAAACAACAACTTCACGGAACTTTGTCATACTGTTCAACTTGCGAGACGATACAGACTCCATCATAATTGTTGGTCGGTTAATTAAAAAAGGAAGAAAATGTGAGAGTCATTCCCACGACACGCTGTCGATACATCCTGCACGTGACGTGGACGGCCGACATACGACGTCCACGTCACATGAAGGATATACCTTCATCGCTGTTCATTCCGACTGACACGTTCGCCGGCGAGTTTCAAGGTATCCGACGAAATCTAAGATTCTACGCACACGCGTAGTTTGGAATCCTCCAACGTCTGAAAGACCGTGTGACTCCTACGTTCAATGTCGCGTTTTCGACTCGTTGGACCAGTTACCGCGTACTATCGTTCGAGCCAAGACCCGAACCCGGATCTTCGTTGAAAATTTAGGAGAAACTCGACTTTCCAAGAAAATTCAAACAATTCGTGACAACTCTCGGCCATTTCACATTAAACAAGAGGGGAAAATATCACACTTTGTCGCTCAGTTTCATGTCGCTAGAAATACTGAGTACTCGGCTCTGAAACTATAAACGAATTATATACTTCAGCACAGAATAATGCAGTATGTTAAAATCCGCGAAGACGAAATGGCGTGAAAATTAATGAAACATTTCGATCTCTCCTTCCTCTCTCTCTCTTTGTCTCTCTTATTATAACATGAGGATAATTAAATATTGAATTCTATCCATTGGAGCTTCTACGTAATAATAATTCAAGGGTTTTATACATTCTTTATTCCAGCTAAGAAATGTGATCTTTCACGATGCAAAAAGAAGTAGTATAAATATGGTGATTTTGCAACAGGCTGTTAAATATAATAATTATATTTAATAATATTAAATATGATAATAATATTATTGTTTAATATTATTTTTGTTGGTTCTTATTGCACAAACCTCTTCAATTTCTATTGAATTTCTCTTAACTCTGTTGTGGAAATTTATGTCTAAAGCCACGTCTGAAACACATAAAATGCACCTTTCCTACAATTTTACATTGGCTTCTGACGAAATACATGTAACCCGCGTACAGTAAAACAATTTCTAGAAATTATGAAATCACGTGTTAATTAAAATTCAAGATATTCCTCACTCGAGCTCACTATTCATTCGTCCAGAGAAGGAGAGAAGCGTGTATCCATCAGTTTCAAGATTCAAGAACAGAAGTAAACTTCATTTAGAAATGATCGAAAATGACGAAAAAAGGAAAGAAAAGAAAAAGGAAGATTTGGTAGAAAGATTAAATTTCTAACGTGTCGAAATGCTTGTCGCTAAAAAGTTGGTTGGGGGTGTGTAACGAGCGTCGACGCGCGACGCATTATCTCGTGCGTAGCGTTACAATTAATAATGCATGCGATACACAGCGGTCGACCGGCTGCGTACGCAGAGACAGGCGAGCGGTAAATTTGTACCTGCGCCGATCGTCGAAGAAGGTGATTCATCGTCAGCATGCCGTGGATGATGAATGAAAATGTGCATGCACTTAAGCGAAATATACACGGCGCGTATGTCCATTCGGATGTATGCGTCGGTGAACGAACTCCAGGCTATCGGGGAAAAAATCGATACTTCGTTAAACCAACGATCTTTCATCGATGTACCTTGACATTCTCGCAACCGGCGTCGTACCATCTACGACTTGGACGTTGTTATTATTACAAATACAAAGAGAGAAAGATATCTAATAAAATGAAAAAAAAATTCAACATCACAAGGTAAGATAATGTTGAAATACAGTATAAAGAAGTAGACTCCTGGTCAAAGATTTGGAGTTGAGATTTCAATGTTTCCATCAAATTAATATCAATATCGTTTTCTCGTAGCATTGAAATTTTAATTGATCGTTTCAACGATCGAAACGATGTTTATAATATTCTCGTTTGACGAGTGTACTTTCTCACAGAATGTCACAATTATCTAAATCGAATTATTTCTCGACTAGAGACTTGCTATATATTTGTTAACACTGTTGCACATACTCCTTCCGAGGGCTAAATCTTGAAGAACAGCGTCACATACGGAATACCGAATTCCGTTTCACTGTGAACAAGTAGGAGAACAGGTACATGCATCGCGTTCCTTCGTCTTTCGTTCTTCCAGAGAGAAGCGCGAGCTCGAAAAGTCTAGCCGGTTGGCCAGGGATCTCGCGAATGATGGCAACGAGTTAAAAACCAAGCTGATCAATCGCCCGCGCATTAACGGATAACCATAACGCAGCGCGTTCCGTCAGCTTAATCAGCTAATTGAAACTAGGAATAACGGTGACACAAGCGGATCGGCTCGCGTTCGAATGACCGCGATACATGAAAAATTCAATCACGAGACGCATTTGCTAATGATTCCGGCGGGCTCCGCCGCCCGTCAATGCGTTCTCGTTTTTTCAATTAGCTGATTGAAACGTGCGCGTAAAACGCGCGGGGGGCCAAGTATCCAGAGCGAACGTTTCCTGAAAAATTCATCAAACCTGTATTTCCCGTATTCCCTTCGAATTTTCACATCCTGCCTCCTACCGTGCGTTTCCAGCGTGTGTGTTCTTCAACCATTTCAGTTTCGATGGGGTACCAAAGAGAATGTAAACCATCTTACTGGGAGGAGTAAGTATAAATTTCATTTATACTGAAATTAAA